GGCCCTGGAACACACATCGCAAGGTGTGGCAACCCCACTTGCGCTCGAGTGCGACCTCGATCTTAGATTCTCCTGCGTTCACCTCCTGCCTCTTCCCCTTCTCTTAGGCACGCCCTGGCGGCGCCGCCCCAGCTCCCCCTTCTCCATCTCCGATCCTGCAGTCGTGGTGTCTCTCTGCTTCCAACGCCCTTTCAGTTTTTTTGTCTGTATGAGCCGAGGGCACACACGTGCCACTCGTATATATATATATATATATATATATATATATATATATATCCGCCACCGTGCCCTCGAGACGCGAGTTGGCGTGTCCCGAGGTCCCTTGTTCTATCCCTATGGAGCCTCAGCCGTCCCTCTCGGAGGCCCCCTCCGCAGGGGGCCCGGGGACCCACCTGCCTCGAGCCTCCCCTGGGGGCGCGCCGCGTGGCCCCCCGGGGTTCCCCGTGGGCCCCCGGGGTCCCCTCGGCGTCGTGGGTCGCCTCTGCGAGGGCCCCCGAGGCCCCCCGGGGTCCCCCGTGGGTGGCCTCTGCGAGGGCCCCCGAGACCGGCCGAGAGGCTCCAGAGAGGCCCCCCAGGTCTTACCAGCCTCGAACGTATCCCTATCCCTGAGATTGGCACGCCAGAAGGCGACGACAATCTCAGGGAGTCGCCCCCCCCCCCCAACAAAAAGGGAATCCCTGAGATTGGCATCGTGATGAGGAGGTGCCCAGCATAGGGATAGGGATATGTTCCAGGCTGGTAAAGGTCCCAAGTGGGCCCCGAGCCGCCCATAGATCGCCCCCAGACGCCGGAGTCGGTCTCAAGACTGCCCACGATGCCCACCAGGCGTCCCAGAGGTCTCCAGGAGTAAACGAGAGCCCACGAGAGCCCCCACGCCCCAGAGGCCACAATCAGTGATGCCCCTTGGGTCTTAAGGAGTTTGGCTCTCTCGCCTTTTCGGCGTCCCGACGCTTCCAGACGGCGTACGAGGCCCCCACGATCGCCCCGAGACGGCCCAACAGGCCTACAAGAGGGCCCCTAAACGGCGCCAGAGGGGCCTAAGACGGCCCAAGAGGCGGGCGGCCAACAGGACCCCAAGAGGGGGCCCAAATGGGGGACCCGCACGAATACTTCGAGCCCTCGGCCGGCCCCAAGAGGCCGTCAGGAGGCCCCAAGAGGCCTCCAAGACGAACCCAAGAGGCCCAAAGAGGTCTCACAAAGGCCCAAAGGAGGCCCCCAAAAGGCCCCCGAGACCCAAGAGGCTCCCAAGAGGCTCCCAAGAGGCTCCCAAAACAGCCCCCAAGACGACACAAAAGTGTCCCCAAGAGGCCCCCGAGAGCGCTCCGAAGAGACCCCAATTTTAGGCCCAATAAGCATCCCTGAGGACTCTGACCCACAATCTAGGCACGGCGGCGGGATGGGCCGAATGCCGCTGTTGGGGTCTGAGATACTCAGAAAGCTATCCAATCTGGAAAAACGACCCGAATGGGCACAGGGAAGGTTCTGGAGACGAGCCTTGGCCGCATAGCATCGATCATGTCAATAGCCATGCGCTCGTTCCCTGGACACCCAAGCGATCCAAAAGATACGCGATCCCCCGCGGGCATCCACACAAACCGCGCTGTATTCATGGCCACGCGGCCGAAAAGTCGGGACCGCGAAGCCGTGGATACGGATATGCTTCTCGCCCACGGGGACCAGGCGGCAGTCGGGTCGTATTCAGGACCACGTCTTCGTGAGCACGACGAAGCCCAGGCTTAGCCAAATCTCGCAGGACTCCACGGATGAAGCCAGATCAAGACAGATCATCGTGGGCAAGATTGCGCCGATGCTGGCCGGATTCCGGGCTAGCCAGGCCAGGCTATATACTCAGGGCCCCGCAATCCGTGACCTTCCATAAACCAGGGCACTGACCCACCTGCGCAAGAAAACTGCAGCCGTGAGGCGAAGCCTTCCCCGCTCGCATGGCAAACCCTGGTGTGCAGTGCCCTCGCGTCTGGTGGACCCTGAGGCGCCAGACGAGCACAGACCGGCCAGCCAAGGAAAATACCAGAGCCAGCGTGCAATTCAACCTCCCCTCGTCTGCCGTTACCAGCCTCGAACGTATCCCTGTCCTAAAGATTGACACGCCAAAAGGCGATGACAATCTTAGGGATTCGCCCTCAAAAAAATCGCCGGCCCAACGTGCCAGAGGCGTGCTAAGATCTCCGGTAACTGCTAAATAATACTTCTACTTCGCGCGCGCGGGGCGGCCCCTGGGGGTCCCCTGACGAAAAGTACCCCGGGGGATCCCCGGCAGACTCGGGTCAGAGATGGTTTTCCTCCTGGGCGCCGCCCCCGTGGCCCTCCAGAGAGCCCCAAGAAGGGCCACGAGGCAGCCAAGAGCCCTCCAAGATGGTTCAAGAGTGCTCCGAGATGCCACACGATCGTTCCAAGACGCCCAAGATGGCCCCCAGACGCCCAAGATGGCCCCCAGACGCCCCAAGAGGCCTCCAAGAGCACTCCCCAGAGGACCCCAAGAGGCAAAATTCATTACTTTTCCTCAGGTTTTGGGCAGATTTTGGCGTGTCCATCTTTTCGGCTTCCCGACGCCCCAAGACGGCCCAACAGGCCCCCAAGATCGCCCGAAGAGGGCCCGAGAAGCTCCCAAGAAGGCCCCAAGATGGCCCAAGAGGGCTCCAAGACGGCCCCAGAGGCATCCAAGACGGCCCAAGATGGGCCCAAGAGGGCCACAAGCGATGCCCCAAAGGGGGAACACAAAACAAAACTTCGAGCCCTCGGCCTTAAGAAGCCCCCAGGAGGCCTCAAGAGGCCCCTGAGAGGCCCCAAAAGCCCCCAAGAGGCCCTCAGGAGGCCCCCAAGCGACGCTGAAGAGGCCCCCCAGCGGCCCCAAGAGGCTCAGTCATGCGAAATGGGCCGGCGGAATAAGCGAAGCGATTCAATAAGGGAATCCCTAAGATTGGCATCGTGATGAGGAGGTGCCCAGCATAGGGATTGGGATATGTTCCAGGCTGGTAATGTAGCATCGGCCGCGAGACCAAAAACTCACTCCAGGAACGAGGGCTCGACCGAGGGCCGCGCGACAGCAGGCAGCACCGAGAGAGAACTGGGGCAGCGCGCTGGGGGGCCCCCACCGGGTCGTCGCCCTTTGCAAGAGGCCAGCGCGAAGCGGCGGCCTCATCGCACATACAGTCGGGGGCTTGACCTAAGGAACCCTAAAAAAGGAACGAGGCCCCTTGTTTCCATAAATTAAACTTCGATTTACCATTGAAAACCTATGGAAAACCCAAGGCAAACTGTAAAACAATCAAGGAACACCGAGCCCGTCCCCAACGAACAGGGTTCCTTCCTCAGCGCCCCGACTGTAGATGCAGGCCAAGCCCCGAAACGTTCATGGGCGTCCCCAAGCTTCCAGGGCCTTAGACGGTTTCCCCCAGGGCCGCAGGCGACCCGAGAGGCGAGGAGGGGGAGAAGAAGGAGGAGGAGGAGGAGGAGGAGGAGGAGGAGGGGGAGGAGGAGAGACCAGTGTCAATCCAAGAGTCATCAACGATGTTGGAATAACCCTCCCTCCGAGCTCCCTGTCCATAGGCCCCCATAACGGTTCCCTTCCTTTGATGGAACTGCCTCTTTGGGAGACAACCGTTCGAAGACCCTGAAGCATGCCAAAACATTGTTCTCGGGAATCGAACGCCACGGATCACCCTGACTGTTGCGTCTTGACAGTCCTGAATCGTGCCATAACGCCATTCCTGTGACTTCAACACAGCAAATCAGCATAACTGTTGCACCCGCATGCTCCCGAATCCTGTCAAAACACCATGTCTGACTCGCTGATGACGGGAATCCGTGAAATTCTTGCAAATTGATTTTAAAACGAATGTGCGCCGCGCTAAATGAGAGAGACACATTTTGAAAAGGAACCGCCCTCAATCCGTGAAACTCTTGCAACTTGTTTAAAACAAGTGTGCGCCGCGCCGAGGCGAGAGCAACATTTTGAAAAAGAGCCGCCCTCAATGCGTGAGAATTCTTGCCAATGTTCCAAAACGATGTGCGCCGTGCTGAAGGGAGAACCACATTTTGAAAACCAACCGCCCTCAATCCGTGAAACTCTTGCAACTTGGATAAAACGAATGTGCGCCACGATAAAGCGAGAGCCACATTTTGAAAACCGTCCGCCCTCAATCCATGAAACTCTTGCAAATTGTTACAAGGAATGTGCGCCGCGCTAGGGCGAGAGCCACATTTCGAAAACGACCCGCCCTCCCCTTCTGTGAAACTGTTGCCAGTTCGCAAGCCTCACAATCGCAAAAAGAGTGAGGACCGGCCAGCCCTAAAAACCAGCCTCGGGGTGCGACGAGGAGAAGGTATCTCTATAAGGACAGAGAATGGAGGAGACCGGGTCGCCGAAGCCCTTCGGGAAAGCCCTTCACGGGGCCCCTCCCAAGCATCCGTCTCCTCCTTCCAGACCTCCGACGCCTCCACGCTCCCGCAGCGTGGGCCCGTGGGCCCCCCGCGGCTCTCGCCCCCGCCGTCCCAGGCCACCCTCCCCACCCCAATGTCTGAGACTGGTCCCCGTCCCTCCGGCGCTGGACTTCGGTCGGGCATGTCCTCCCACAGGCGAGTGTTGGGCATAAGAATGAAACATAGCCCCAAAAATCCCAGAGTGCTCCAGAATTCCCTCCAAAAATCGTCCCCGTAGTATTTTCTTCACTATGTTTGAATTTCCTCCTGCAGAGGGACAGGCCCAACCTAACGCTGGACAAGGCGAGCACCTCCGGCGCTGTTCATGAGAGAGTCGCCAGCGGTCATGGAATGCCTCCCGGTCGGGGGTCGAACGTCGTCGTCAAGACCCCTCAAGGGGTGAGGCCCCGCCAGAACTTCGGGGAAGATCCAGCCGTCAGGCCGACGAAGCCGTCCCGAAGGTCCCAACAGCACTCGAAGGAATACGAAACCTCAATCCTCGAACCCTGTCCTGCTCCTCCTCGAGGTCTGGGAATGCCAGAAGCTGTAGCCCGCGGGTCCAGAGCTGGACGCCGCGGAGTGCTCGGAGTCCACGGTCGACTGCTGGCTGAGGTTGTCCTCGCTGGGGCGAAGACGCAGGCGGAGCCGAGAATATCCCTCCCTGACCTCCTCCGACAATTTGTTATGCTGCATTGCCCACCCCCCCAACAAAAACACCAAGAGTCTTTGGAGAAACATCCGAGAAATACAAGAACACTCCGACGATCTCGTGTTTCTGGTCCCGGCGGCGGCTTCCCGGGATTGTGGCCCGCCATCGGGCCACAGCGCAATCAAACGTGGATCCCAAACTGCTCCCAGGGGAGGGGGAGCGACCCCTGGGTGGGCATGACTGCGGTCTGTGGTAACCCCGGTCTGGGCCCCCGAGGCGCGAATAGCTGCAGCTCCGATGATGCAGGCGGGAGGGAGGGGAGGGAGGGAGGGGAGGGAGGGAGGGGAGGGAGGGAGGGGGAGGGAGGGAGGGGAGGGAGGGAGGGGAGGGAGGCAAGCTATGTGCGCTCGCGTCATATCTGACGTCCTACCCCTCCCTCCCATCCCTTACCATGGCGCTGATTTTCTCTATCCGCGGACGCGTGTCGTAGCGGACCTGTGGCTCCGCGCGCGCGTGCGTAGTGGGTGGTGGTGCGCGTGCGTGCGTGCGTGTGTGCGTGGTTGTGGTTGTGTGGTTGTGGTTGTGGTTGTGGTTGTGGTTGTGGTTGTGGTTGTGGTGGTGGTGGTGGTTGTGGTGGTGGTGGTGGTGGTGGTGGTGGTGGTGGGTGGTGGTGGTGGTGGTGTGTGTGCGTGTGCGCGGGTGCTGTGGTGTGACGTGGTGTGGCGTCTTGGTGGTTTGGTGGTGGGCCAGGTGCGCGCGTGCGTGATGGCAGTGGTGGTGGTGGCGGTGGTGGTGGTGGTGTGTGTGTGCGTGTGTGTGTGTGTGTGTGCGTGTGTATGTGTGTGTGTGCGTGTGTGTCTGTGTGCGCGCGCGTGTGATGTGGTATGACGCGGTGTAGCGTGGTGGTGGTGGGTGGGGTAGTGGGGTGGTGGTGGCGGTGCGCGTGCGTGCGTGCGTGCGTGCGTTGGTGGGTGGAAGTGGCGGTGGGCGGGGCGGGGCGCGGTGCGGTGGTGGCGGGCGGATGGGCGCGCGAGAAAGAGGCCCGCGCTGGGGCGAGAACGCCATCCTGAACGACGGAGGCAAAACACCGATCCGAAAATGAGACCCACGCTGCAGCGGGAGCACGATTCGGAACGAGCGGGGCCCGAAAATGAGGCCGGCGCCTCAGCGAGAGCAGCATTTTGGGAACAAATGCAGGCGAAAACCCAACTCCCGGGAATCCTGTGTGTAAAAAGCAGGACGCGGGGGGGGGGGCGAACACTCCCATTCACGTCATCAGGGGAAGCGGGAGAGTAGTTTTCATATTGAGTAATTGTGGAGGGAGGGAGGGGAGGGAGGGAGGGGAGGGAGGCAAGCTATGTGCGCTCGCGTCATATCTGACGTCCTACCCCTCCCTCCCATCCCTTACCATGGCGCTGATTTTCTCTATCCGCGGACGCGTGTCGTAGCGGACCTGTGGCTCCGCGCGCGCGTGCGTAGTGGGTGGTGGTGCGCGTGCGTGCGTGCGTGTGTGCGTGGTTTTGGTTATGGTTGGGTTGTGGTTGTGGTTGTGGTTGTGGTGGTGGTGGTGGTGGTGGTGGTGGTGGTGGTGGTGGTGGTGGTGGTGGTGGTGGTGGTGGTGGTGTGTGTGTGTGCGTGTGTGCGCGTGTGCTGTGGTGTGACGTGGTGTGGCGTCTTGGTGGTTTGGTGGTGGGCCAGGTGCGTGCGTGCGTGATGGCGGTGGTGGTGGTGGCGGTGGTGGTGTGTGTGCGTGTGTGTGTGTGTGCGTGTGTATGTGTGTGTGCGTGCGTGTGTGTCTGTGTGCGCGCGCGTGTGATGTGGTGTGACGCGGTGTAGCGTGGTGGTGGTGGGTGGGGTAGTGGGGTGGTGGTGGCGGTGCGCGTGCGTGCGTGCGTGCGTGCGTGCGTTGGTGGGTGGAAGTGGCGGTGGGCGGGGCGGGGCGGGGCGCGGTGGTGGCGGGCGGACGGGCGCGCGAGAAAGAGGCCCGCGCTGGGGCGAGAACGCCATCCTGAACGACGGAGGAAAAACACCGATCCGAAAATGAGACCCACGCTGCAGCGGGAGCACGATTCGGAACGAGCGGGGCCCGAAAATGAGGCTGGCGCCTCAGCGAGAGCAACATTTTGGGAAAAACATACAAGCGAAAACCCAACTCCCGGGAATCCTGTGTAAAAGAACAGTACGGGGGGGGGGGGGGCGAACACTCCCAGCACGTCATCAGGGGAAGAGGGAGAGTAGTATTCATATGGAGTGATTGTGGAGGGGAGGGAGGGAGGGAGGGAGGGAGGGGAGGGAGGGAGGGGAGGGAGGGAGGGGGAGGGAGGAGGGGCTCTGATGTGGGGCGGGGCCGTGCACAGGGCCTGCCGCGGAAGAGGTCCACGGCGAGGCGCGCAGGAGCCGAGCCCCGGGCCTCAACGGGAGGGGGTTGCTCGCGGTGCTGCACCACGCACAGGGGGCACCCGGCACGACGCATGCGCCCACAAACCCGAGGCCAGAATCAGAAGAAGGAAGAGCAAGAAGGAAAAGCGCGATGAACAGAAGGTCGGGCCTGTCCCCCTACAGGCGGATCTTGGAGGAATAGTTTAATACATATATATATGTATATATATACATATAAAAGAAATACTTGGAAAATCGTCCCCTGACTACAAGGAAAAAACTGGGCCAGAATCAGAAGAAGGAAAAGCGCGATGAACATAAGGTCGGACCCGTCCCCCCTACAGGCGGATCCTGGAGGAAGAACTAAAAATATCAAAACAATGGCAATACCTACTCGGAAAATCGTCCCCTGACTACTTTTACAACTGTGCTTGAACATTCCCCCGGGAGAGGTACATACCCGACTAACACGAACCTAACCTTTGGCGCTCCGCGCGGATTTCGAGGATCCGCGCGCCAGGGGCGGCGCCGGAGGCGCCGCCAGGGGGGTTTAGCTGAATGGGGGCCTCAATGTTTTCATATGCATCCGTGCACTGTGCCCTCGTCTACGGCGCCCAGGGCCCCCTAAACGGGGGCATGGTCCAACGTGGAAATCGGCGTTCCCCGTGCCCCTGTCTGCTGTGCCCCCGTCTCTGGCGCCCTGACCCACATACCCGAGACCAGAATTAGAAGAAGTAAAAACGTGATAAACATACAGTGAAAATGTATAGTAAGGACGCGTGGTAAGGACGCAACACCCTTGGAGGCCGAAGTTGAAGTATTCTGGGCGGCAGGCGGCCAACCCCCCAGGGAACCTCAGAAACTGGCCTGCGAAAATTGCTAGGGACGGGCCGCAGAGGCTGAGGCAGGCAAGGACCCAAGGGCACCCTTGAAAAAGTCGGTTGTCCTTACCATGCGCGTTGACTGTAAACCTTTGGCGCTCCGCGCGGATGTCTTGTATCCGCGCTGGATCCCCCATCCCTGGGGCGCGGAGCGCGCCAGGGGCGGCGCAGGCGGCGCCGCCAGGGGGGTACCAGCGCGGATCCAAGAGATCCGCGCGGAGCGCCGAACGTTCATGGTAAGAGCGTTGTCTCTTCTTCGAAGGATTGGGTATACGCCACACCCAAGCTCAGGATGGCCCTGGCCAGTGATGGCGGGGGCGTGCAGTTGCATCAGACCCTGCGACCCGGACAGAAACCCTCGAGCCACCTAGAACCTCTCCCACTCTCCCGCCCCCCGCCTGCCGCCTCCTCCCTCGAGGGACCCCCGAGAGAGCTTCCTTGAAAACCCCCGAATCCCCTATCTTCCTCGCTCGCTCGCTCTCTCTCTCTCTCTCTCTCTCGTTATCTCGCTCTCTCTCTCTCTCTCTCTCCTTCTCGTTCTCTCTCCTTTCTCTCTCTCTCTCTCTTGTTCTTTTTTGTTCTCTCTCTCTCTTTTTCGGAGCAAGCGTCGCCTCTGACCGTCGTCAGGCAGCGAGCGCCTGATGGCCCCAGAGCGCGCAGCGGAGCGCGCAGCGGCGCGCGCAGCTGCACCACGTCGGCGGGCGAGAGTACAGGCCCTCGCCCGCCTCCGAGCTGTGCGGAAGGCAGGCTGCGCCTCCCTCCCCTCACAGGGCCCCTGAGAACGATGCCGTTGCTTTTTGCCCGTTCCGTCGCCCTTCGCTTACCGTTTCCGGCTCCGGCTCCATTCCTGGAGCCGTTCTTGTTGCCGTTTCCGGTCGCCGCTTTTGCTGCGTTCCATGTTCAGGAACTTTTGTTTTTTTTGCGGAAGCGGTGACAAGACGGCCCTGCCGCTTCCGGGGCCCACCGAGCTTCCTCCCCTCGTGCGCAGCTTAACAGAAAAGCATCCCTTTCTGGAGCGAGTTGGCCTGGGGCCAGCTCCAAGAGGAGACCCCAAAGCTCGTTGGAGCCCCCCCTGATAAGGAGCCCACAGAGGACGTACGCGCCCAACCACGCACATGAACACGGCCCCCCAATCCGCGAGACTGGCCGCGTGATACGAACGCTCGCGCCATGCGTACTCTCGGAACCTACGTGGATTCATGTAAGTGTACGTCCTTCTTTCGCTCCTGATCTGGGAGGTTTCTTGGCGCCTCGTCAAAAACTGGCCACTCCCTGGGAATCCGCTCCGGAGGCCGCGAGTCCTGCAGAACAAACTAGGACTAAGTCGGGCCTGTCCCCCAACAGGAGGAATATTCACAAATACTCCAAAAATTGTCTGGGGGCGATTTTTGACTATATTCGAATATGTTGAAGCATTGTTTGACTATTTTGTATCTGTTATCCAAAATTAGCCTGTCGGGGGACACCCCCGACCTAAAACCTAGGACCCGCGCTCCCGAGGCCACGATCCCTGGTTACTGACGGAGCACTCCCGAGGCCGCCATTCCCATTTTGCCACACACGCACACACAGCCCCATTTTGTCACACACGCACACACAGAAGAAAGAGCAAGCACTGGATCCGCGCTCCCGAGGCCACGCTCCCTCGTAGAACACGTCGGATCCGCGCTCCCGAGGCTGCGCCCTGGGGAAGCCGGAAGAGGTGCCGATGCCGCGAGTGCCCGGACCCCCCCGGGGAGCGGTCGGACCAGAGTCTCGGGGCGAGCCCAGCCCTGGCGACGAGGGCCTCCCGGGGAGGCCCCGCAGGGGCGAAGACGGGGCAGGAGTGAGCGATAGCAGCACCTCGTCCTCCTCTGGCGACCCTCTCGGCGGCGGGGAGAGGGGGGGGGGAAACGAACACAACAACAAAAAACGATGCATACACCTATATATACGTATATATATATATATGTGTGTAAACAAAATGTTTATTACTCCTTGTATACGTGTGTTTGTTATACTCGTTTCTACACCTCTCTATCTTATGATTACAGGAAAGGGAAAAAGAAAAGGACAACAAACAAAAAAGGCCCGTCCTCGACGCGGGCGGCGGAATGAGCCAGCGCTGGCGCCGCCGGGATCCGCGGCGGCAGCCCCCTACGGGCGTGCGCGCCAGGGAGGCGCGGCGGGGCGCCCTCGCCGAGCATCGCGGGGGCGTCTGGCGGGGCGTGCCGCGGCGGTGGCGACCCTGGCAGGTGGCGACAGGCCGAGCCCTGCGGGCCAACCCGCGTTGCAAGGATGCGCGGTGAGGATGCAGGCTCGCCATCGCTCGGACGTCCAGTTCCCGTGCATTTTTCGGTTTCGTGCGTTTCTTTTTTGCTCGATGGTCCAGGATGGTCCTGGATGGTCCCCGCCGAGAAAAAATGCACACGTCCGAGCGATGGCAGGCAGGGGCCCTGGAGCAGGGAGACGACGGATGCCATAACCATGACAACTCGAAGGTCCGCGCGGACTTCTCGGATCGGCGCTGCACCCCCCTCCCTGGCGCGCGGAGCGCGCCAAGGGCGGCACCCGAGGCGCCGCGGGGGGGGACCCAGCTCGGATCCGAGAAATCCGCGCGGACCTTCGAGTTGTCATGGTTATGCCATTATTCGTTCCCCATGGAAGGCCATGTCGACATCTTGCGAACGGGGCGCGGCAAGCGAAAGTGGCCGAGGGTGGGCCGAGGAGGCAAGGATGCCAGGGTACCCTTGGCAGGGTTGCCCATCCTTGCTATGCGGGTTGACTGTGCCCCAGCCGACCATCGATTCTCCTGAATCGATGGGAGGCGGGGGTTAAGGTTCGGACGTCGCCGCGAGTTCGACGAATTCCGCACCCTGCCCCCGCCGCCCATCGAGCTGCCTGAATCGTGGGTCGGCAAAGGCAGGGTTCTGAGTTCGCCGCCGACCTGGACGTCCGAGGGTCTGATTTGGAGCATCGTTTCGCCGATCCCCGATCCTCACTGGCGTGGCCCGAGCCCCACTGGCCGACGTAACCCCCAATAGATGGGGACATAGGCTGTTCCCGTCGAGTTTCGAGGGGCATAATCCAGATGATCCCCGAAACTGAGTTGGTGGGATGGTGGAGATCGGGATGGGGATACGGATTGGTTCCACGATGCCGATGCGATGACTAGATCCGCCACAGTGCCTGCGAGGCACGAGCTGGAGTGTAATTACTCGGGCCCCTTGATCAATCCAATGATCCTCAGCCTCCCCCATCCTGAGGACTCTTGGCCAGGGCTTCTATTGCTCCCGTCGTAATGAAGGACCACATCCCAGAAATACCTTCGAGCACCCAAAGAAGTATCAAAACGGTGTCGAACGAGTATCGCCTCCCAGGGCCCGACGCCTGAAAACCTTCCACTATCGGTACGTTCGGTGCTCGAAAATGTTTCTGGCGATCAAGGCCAAAGTAGCTTGGACCATCAGAAGTCAAGGCCCCATTCTTCAATCCCCCGAGGCTCCCGGCACGCCCGGGGCGTCGTCCCGCAACACTCCTGCGGGCCCACGGGAGCCCGAAGACGGGCCCCGAGCGGGGCCCCGAGCGGGGCCCAAGACAGAGGGCCTCGAGCCGACGAACGATCGGCCCAAGGCACGGTGGCGGGATAAGCTGAAGGCCACTAGCTTTAGGTTTGGCATGCCCTCCTACAAGCGGATTTCTGACGAAAAATTATTAATTTTTTTAAAAATACCCCCCCCCAAAAAAAAAACAAATGCTCAAAAACACTGAAACATCGTCCCCTGATACTGATTTTTAGATTGAGCGTCCCTCCTGTAGAGGGACAGTCCCAACTTAACACTGGCCGGCGTCAGTCCCGGTGGCTTCCTCCACGCCAGCCTTCCAGGGCCCCCCATCGGGCGCCTCGAGAGCCCCGCAGGAAAAAAGGATCGGGGACGAACCACAGCGCTAGGAGAGGGGTCGGACCGCGGGGGCCGGGCCTCGAGACAAGTCCGCGAGGGAGGAGCAGGAGGCGAAGGAGGGAGGACAAGGAGGAGGGAGGAATGAGGAGGGAGGCGGAGGGGGGAGGCGGAGGAAGAAGGAGGGGAGGGGAGCAGGGCTCGACTCACCGAGAGCCCCAGGCAATAATCCCCGGGAGATAATGTAGTTCGTGGGTCTGGTTGGGAGAATCAACGACTTTCCCGGCGACGGTGATAATGATTATGATGACGATGACGGTGACGATGAAGATGATGATGATGATGATGATGATGATGGTGATGATGATGATGATGCTGATGATGATGCTGCTGATGATGATGATGATGATGATGATGATGATGATGGTGATCCTGGGCGCTCGTGTAGACTGACCTTGTAGACCTTGGCACAAGTCTAGCTGGAGAGATCTCGAATCTCGTGGCTGCAACTTTCCTGCGCAAGAGAGGTCCGTGGCGCTCCTGGCCATGGAGGAAGAGGAGAAGGAGGAGGAGGAGGAGGAGGAGAAGGAGGAGGGGCCACGAACCGTGTGAGGAATGCGCTAAAAAAGTAACTCCAATGCTCTGTCTGCTCGAAAAACGCTTGTAACTTGAAAATCCAATCGGTCCCCATGGCCCTGCCACACGTTCCTGGCTCGGGAACGGCTGAGAAAGTGAGAATCCCATGGCCCTGCCGCACGTTCGTGTCTTGGGAACACTGAAAGTGTGAAAATCCCATAGCCCTGCCACGCGCTCATGATTGCGGAAGCTGAAATGATGAGACTACCATTGCCATGCTCAGCGTGTTTGATGATGTTGCTAATCAACATAAGATGATAGCAATTTCGATTCGCAACTTCCCCCGGTTATTATCAAGGTCGGCCTCCGCGCCCCTCTCCACAATTAAATCCGATTGGCATGGGGTAATAATAAAACCAAAAAACATGGGATTGAGGGGGGTATGTTTCATTATCCGGGACAGTCGGTTCAAGCAGGGTACTCTTTCGTTTCCGTGTTGTCTTCGGTTTCTCTCGCTTTGTCCATCCGCCGTTGCTGCAAGACGCAGGCGAAACGAAGAGAACGGCCCACGGAGTCGCCAAAACACCGTTCAGGTGGACCCCTGGGGAGGGAGAGGGCGGGTGCCCCGTCGACCGCGGCGACCCTGGGGCTGCAGCACTCCCACCGCCGCGGCGGCCCCGGCCTGCAGCATGCACGAGCGGTCGGACGACCTGGGAGCCAAAACGGCTGCCAATCCCCCGCCTGCCCCCTGCGGGGTGCGCGAGGGCACACTGCCTGGGGGGACGAGTGGGCAAGATAGCACGAAGGCAGGGCAGAGAATCGGCCCGCGTAGCCCGCTATCCTGGCGCGTCCTGGCGCCGAGAGGCGCCCTCGAATCGAGCGACGGGCCCGGCGGAGGAGCAGCTGCATGAAGCAGCTCTCGTACCTCCCCACTGTCCCTATCCTACCCTTTCGTTCGGTCCCGTACTAGTACTACCGGTAGAGGCCTCCAAAACAGGGTCCAAGTAGATGGGGTCGGGGGATCGAGCCGCATCGCCGATGCATCGTCGACGTCGGCGCTGCGCCGGCGCCGTCGACGCGGAGAAGATCTGGCCCCACATCGAGCCGCATCGGCGATGCATCGGCGATCCTCCGACCCCATCTACCAGGACCCCATCTGGAAGGCCTAGATATGTCCATACTTGTACGCTGACTGCCTACCAGACCACCCCAACCCAACCCGACGACCCGAATTTGACCCGAATCTCGGGTTGCGGGGGGTACGGGTTCCATGTGTTTTTTCAATGTTCTCCCCGACCCCCCCCCCACCACCACTGGAAATGGAGGGCTAATCGGAGCCTTCGGGCTGGGTTGGGGTGGCTTGGTGGGTGGTGAATCTGGGAGAGGCCCAGATCTGGCCATACATCTGCAAACCAGTACTGGCGCCCTCCCGAGAACCGAAAACGGACACTTCACTAATCGACGTGTCACTGTTGGGGGTTCTGTCCACCCCCGACAGTACAGCACTTCCCGAGCGGCATGGCCAGAACGCGCCCGCCACGGAGGCTCCAACTGCCAGACTTCTGAGCGTGCGCGTCGCCCTTTGCGGGGCCGACGCGCACACAGTACACACATGTTGGGGTGGTGCCGGCCGTGCCTTCCTGCCCCCACAGACGTCCGGCGTCTGGGCAAGCAGCAAGGCGGGGATGATGCGAGCAATATTCATATCCATATCCAGTGCGTCTTGGACTTTCTTGGAAGGGGCGTCGCAAGGCCGAGGCGCACTGGATATGGATAACCATAGTCGCTGGGGGCCCGATGTTCCTCCATATCCAGTGCGCCTCGGGTTTCTTGGGAGGGGAGCCCGAAACTCCATACTGCAGTGGATGCGGACAAAAGCATTGCCCGCAGATGAGTCCCAACGTTCGGCCTGCGGGAGCCCTCGCCGGGCCCCAGGAGCGCAAGCCTCAGCACTGGCCCGAGAGCAGGCACGACGGCTGCTGCTCGGCGTCGGCTTCCACCCCCCTGCCCCGCGCCAGGGCCGTCGAAGGCCAGCCCGGGAGGAAACGTGACACCCTCGGAGCCTCGGAAAAGGTCCAGTCCCCCAGGGAACCACGCTGGAAAGGCAGAAACCATGACACGGCGTCGGAAGTCCGGCGACGCATCCCCATCCCCAGTGCGCCGACGATCCTCAGCGGCGCCACCCCGTCCCCCCGCCCCCTCCCCTGCTGCCGGTGTGTGGGGCGGGCTGCCGCGAGGCCTGGCGGCGGCGACATCGATCCCCACCGGGGGGGGGGGGGCCAACTGGGTCGCGGGGCTAAGGCTTTCCCAGCAGGGCTGGGGCTGGCGAACGGCGATGATGACAGCCGAGGCTGGATGCGGAGGACGCCCGCGAAAGCACGAGCCTCGTCCGAGGGCAGCCCGGGCAGCCCGAGCTCTTGACAATAGGAAGACATGAGACGCGACAGACAGGGCACAAGCATGGTGGGCCTCAGAAATCTTCTCGACCGCAGGGTCCGACGCCACTGGGAGCAGCTGGAAGCGAGATGAACGCTACAAACAGGTGCAGGTCTGAACCGCATGGCCGGGCACGGCATGGCAGACCACGTGCAGTCGCCTTGCCCTCGCGCGGTGTGTGGTGTTCAAGTGAAGCTCAACATGCTACACTGCCAGGCCAGCCATTTCCAGCATCCCCGCATCGAGAGTCGGGCCGTTTCCTAATCTCATAGTATGAACATCCACCACCCTCCTCCCCCTCCCTCCATGTCCATGCTCCGCCTCATATCCTCCTCCGATGCTGACTGGTTGCATTACGATCTCAAGAATCGGCTACACCCAGACAAAGCACCCTGCGAAAAGCAACGCGAAGCACCCCGCGAGGTATCAAGCAAACATCAATACGAAAAAGTGGCCACAAACACCAAGAGCGCCACGAAACTCACCATGCATCGCATCATCGAGCTGACACACGAGGTGCAGCAAGAAGCCCCAAGAGTTGTCCAAGAGGCTCCCAAGAAGCAATAGAGGAAACCTCGAGAAGTCTCCGACAGGCCCCCGAGAGGTATCCCAAGTGGCCCTGATATGTATCCGAAAGGACCCTCACCAACAACACGAGCACGATAGCGGCATGGGCCGGAGGCCACAAGATATCCGAAGTGTCCTAATCCGCCTCATCCTCCCCGTCCTCCTTATATCTGTCGCTCTCGTTTGTTTGATCCCTCTGTATATATATATATATATGGGGGGAAATGTGTATATACACACGTGTCTATCTCTCTTTCTCTATCTCTCTCTTTCTCTCTTTATTTCTCTGCCATTTGTCCTCAATTTCCTCATCTCCGTCACTGCTGAATCCACAACGCTCTCCTCGTCATCCTACCTATCCCTCCTCGTCCTCCTTCGATGCGATCCTCCTGCTTCTCATCCCCCTTGTCCACCTTCTCATCCTCGCTTTTACTCTCATCGTCATCCTCCCCCCCATCTTCCGCCTCCTTGCCCGCCGAGACGCAGGCAGTGGGGGTCGCGAGGCCTTCGCTACACCGAAGTCCGCTAGCTTGACAACGTTGCGTTCTGGCCGGGTTGGAAAGCTCTCCCCCCACCACTGCAGGAAGAATATCCGCCGACCCACCCTCCTCCTCCTCCTCCTCCTCCTCCTCCTTCTCCTCATGATGATGATCATCATCATCATCATCATCATCATCATCATCATCATCATCATGAGCAGCATCATGAGCAGCAGCAGCAGCATCATTAGCAGCAGCATCATCAGCATCATCATCACCACCACCACCAACATCATCATCAGCATCATCAGCATCAGCATCATCAGCATCATCATCAGCATCAGCATCAGCATCAGCAACATCATCATCACATCAGCATCAGCATCAGCATCATCATCATCACCACCACCACCAACATCATCATCAGCATCATCAGCATCAGCATCATTATCATCAGCATCATCAGCAGCATCATCATCACCAGCATCATCATCATCAGCATCATTATCATCAGCATCATCATCAGCAGCATCATCATCATCATCGTCGTCGTCGTCGTCGCCGTCATCCTCGTCCTCATCCTCGTCCTCATCCTCCTGCTCCTCCCCCTCCTCCTCCTCCTCCTCCCCCTCTGGGGGTGCCAAGGCGAGTGCGATGAGTAGCTGTGCAACTCCCGCAAATCCGATCGGAGGGGGGCTCGGGTGGGAGAATCCCCGGGCTCGCCCACGCTCCCCCTTGGGGCATGCGCATACGCATATAGCCTCCATTCCTACACTCTGTGGCCTCGGAGGTGCCCAAAATTCGATCTACGCTGCCTCGAATAGGGTCCCAAAACGCGCAGGAGTCCTCGAGGACGACCAGGAGAGCCTCAAGACTGCCCAGGAGGCCTCAAAGACGCCTCAAGACTGCCCAGGAGGCCTGAAAGACGGCCCAAGAGGGTTCCTCGACGACCCCCGAGAGGGCCCCAAAAAACAAGAATAGTCAAAATCCGTGAGGAACACGTCGAATATGAACAAGTTCGCGTTTTGGGTCTCAACAGCGTCGAACCAAAGATCGCTCCAAGACAGCCCCAGCCCCCAAGAGGGTTACCAGACGGCCGGAGAGGGTCCCAAACAGCCCAAGAGGCGCAAAGTTGGCCCAAGAAAGCCCCAACAGGCCCCACGAGGGACCCGAGAGAAGTAAGCCGAACTGACATTTCGAGCCCTCTGCATCAAGAGGACCCCCGAGACCGCCAGCAGGCGCCCTAGAACATTTCAAGGCCCGAAGAGGCCCCAAACCGCCAGCAGGCGCCCTAGAAAATTTCCAAGGCCCGAAGAGGCCCCTAAGTGGCCCCCAGACAGCCCCCAAAAGGCCCAATTAGGCCTCACCTGTTGACCTCGTCCCTCTTCTGGGCGTCCGCGGAATGGCGCAAGCCTCTTGAATAAGAAGGCGACCCTCCTCACACCGTCCCACCTCGCTCCCTCTCCCCACTCCCTTATCCTCCCGCCTCCCTCCTCCGCCCCTGAGCTCGCGCCGAAATCGACTGGCGTGAGGCGCTGGCGACCGTTGGTCGGAGCGTTGAGCGGAGAGCCAGGCCAACGATGGGGCGGGCGAGGTTAAGCTCGCCCGCCTCTAAGCGAGGCATGGCAGGTTCCAGTACCTCCCTAGCGAAACTGCACTGCTCGGTGCCCCTCCCCCCACTTCCGATTACGTTAGCGCCAGGGCTCAGGAAACCACTCATGTATCTTGCCTGACCGCGGTAGTCGGCGCAGGTCGGAGACTCGGTGGATCATTGATGGGCTTGGTTTCCACCACCACTACCATAGGTTGGAGGGAGAGGTCCTCCTCCTCCTCCTCCTCTTCTTTCTCCTCCTCCTCCTCCTTCTCCAACATATGGTAGTGGTGGTGGAAATCAGTCCCATCAATCATTGCTGTGCACCCAGCGGAGAGCGGTGAGAGCGGGTGCCAACAAACGGCTTTCTTGGCGTGCGGCAGCGAGCAGGGGAAGGCATAGCGATCAGAAGACTTCGCCGAAAAGCACCAGGGAGCCCGAGAGATTCAGGAGGGAGAACGCGGCGAGCCAGCTAGCCGCTCGGGTCACCGCTTAGGGAAACATGGGCAAGTAGGAGCAGGAAAAGATCTCGCCCTAGTGACGCGTGCATCCGGAGATGCTTGTGGGAGTGCACGCAGTCAAGCGCCTGCGCGCAGGACGATGGGGCAGGACGATTGCGGGGCGAAGGGCGGAGGCGGCGGGAATTTCGAAGGGAGAGAG